TCTAAAATGAAAATTTTGATTAAAACACGACGCTAAGCAGTGATTCAAATGGATCGAAGTCGCAGGCTGTTCGCTTGCCTTCGAAGCGGCTTGCCCTTCTTCGTCCCCGATTCGATTGAATTCTGTCGTGATATATTATTTAAATGAATATCGTAATGGCAGAAGCGACAGTGTCGATACCGTCGTCGAGGAGGTTTTGAAACTATCGGACGCCTCTACGAAGCATACGATCACGTCTCGAGCCTTTTTATAGCACATCCGTAATAACGGATGACATCACAGAATTCCCAATCACTCATCCAAGCCGAAGGCTATGGTCTTCCTCGTCGCCAGCTCATCTTTCTCCTCGAAGCCCCTTGGTCGACGACGCGATCTAGGCTCGGGAAGTCGATGGAGCGTTATCGTATTTCCGGCCAACCCCCCCCCCCCTCCCCCAAAGCATTATAATAAGTGCCAGACAGGGGGACGTCGTACTTCTCAAACGTTCACTCCGGACCTACGTGCCTTCATTTCGACTACGGGCAGTATCGTCGAGCTTGAATCTGATAAAACAGTAGGAACTGGAGCCGTATTACATCGGACGTTGAAATTCGATGCAAATTTCGGCTTGATAACGTCACGTTCATTGATTCAAGTCAATTAATGTCAACATGATGCTGAGCTTCGCGATGGTTCGAACGAATATTTTCGACTAGGTTCTTGATATCCGAGTGGGTAACTAATTCATCATGGATCGCATCGGAAGCTAATGACAGAACCTACAGAAAACGTCATAATTATCGATGTTTTCTGATCGACGAATCGATCTTCGGAAACTTGGTGTCTCACTGACGACGCACCGTGAGCTCTCGAGTTTCATGCTCGGCGGAAAGAAAACAGGAATACCGCGGAGCCGATTCGATCGAGTTCAAGCACGGAACTCCCCATTATGGAAGACTGCTGGATTTCACTCCGTCAGCAGAGGGAATTCCCGAGAGTTCCGCCTCCCTTCACTGCGGGGGCTCGAAGCCCCTCAGGGAAATCCGCGGGAGCGAGGAAGGGATTTCTGGAGCTGCGAGAGATCGGCATACAATGAATTCCTATGCCGCCCTCTGATTCTAGACGATTGCTCAACATCGTCGACCGACTCGGAAGCCGTTGGAAGCAGACCCGATTTGTTTGTAAAACGAGCCTCTTCCTCGGCGATGCTCGCAGCCCTTCCGTTGTGATCTGGGTCAGAGTTTCGAATGCCCCAACAGCAACCTTTCCAGTGTCCGTGATATGAGTTCTGTGAGCTAGGATAACGCCTTCCTAGTCCTTATGTCAGCGAGAATTCAGTCGAGCGTTCCGTTTGCTGTTAGACAAACAAACGATCCCAGCGAAGAGACGGTAAACTGAAACAGGAGATTCTGTCGGTCTTGAATAAGAAAACGAGCGGCTCACAGCAACTACAGTATGCGCAGGGGGACACGACTCCAGGTGAACGGGGCGAACCTTACATTTTGCTGTTTGCTCAAAGGGAGAGGGGGACGAGACGCCGGCACCGGATATTTACGACTGATCACTACACCGACGACCGCAGAGAGTTCGCTGAAGATTTTTGGCACATTTTCTGTTTCTCCAATGCGTGTCTGCTTTTGGGTGGAGGAAATATTGTCGGATGACTGTCGGTAGAAAACTGGCTGCGGCTTTTCTTGCTTGACTTGCGAATAGTCGGCTACGACAGCACCGAGTCGAATCAACTGACCTAGACAGGTCCGTATGTGAGAACTGGAGATGAGCTCTCTGTCCGGCGTCCGTGTGTAGTATGCGTGAGATGAAAACGCCGATCCCTATCTCCCAGGACCTGGGGATTCCGCTCCGAGCTGAGAGCATTGGCGACCTGCTCAGAGTTCTAGTCGCGCGGAATGGGAGCGGTGAAGAGTCCGAACACCCTTATGCAATCATCGCTTGACAAGGTCGGTTTTTCAATCGGAATTTCAGCGCTGCCGATCGGGCTCCTCGGGTCTGCGGGGGATCGATGTCTCGCTAGGCCGTCAACGAACTCGAAATTTCCAACACATTCTCGAGAATATGTGTTTTGACGTTTGTATACATAGACGGGAATATGACGCTGGAGAGGAACCTGGGCGGAGTGCTCAGGATTGTTTACGAATCCTTTAGATTCGAGACTCCACGAGTCCGCGAACTCGCCTCATATCCCCGCGCAGCCAATCGAAGAGAAATTCGAGATCGTAGATCCTTGGATAGATGGAAAATCCTCGCGCGGAATGATGACCGTCGATCTGAATCTTGAAACCGCTGTGAGGAACGAACAGTGAACATGAAGAACACGGATCTGTTCGGAATGCCTGGAGGACTCGATGCGGAAAACGAGGAACGCGGCTTCGTGTTACTAAATTTTTTTTATTATTCTCATCCTCATGATCCTGTCAGTGATCGTCGTAATAATCACTATTATGAGTACTTAGTAGGATGCGAGGAAGGATGTACTCGCGCTCTTCCGTTCTTCGACGTTACCGGGGCGGGGTTTTCGTCGAGAAAACTCCATAATCGAGCTCTAACCGATCGATACACCGATTCATGGAAGGCTCCGTCCCGTTCTCTATCCCCACGATTCTCTCTGTCGATTCGATGATCATGGCCGACGGGTTGTTATGAAAATCGGAATGTTTTCCTCATGTTGCGTAGATTCTCAGTTATGACGATAGTGACGAATAACATGGAGGTACACTTATTAATTGGCGGGACTTCCGTAACGCGAATCGGAATGACAGTGGAGCAAACGATGCCTCTTCTTTTGTCGCTGGCGGCCAAGCTCGACGCTCCGACGCTCGCTCTTATGAGTTCTGAACTTCTGTAAGCATCACCCACGATGACGGCACCGGCGCGGCCGACCACGACCACGATATTGTAGTAGCACCAGGCCAACGACGAATGTAAACACCGACGTCGTTTCGAATATGAATCACGGAGCGATGTTTTGAGACGAGCCTTGGAATCTCTTGCCTTCTCCTCAGAATGAAAATCAAAATAATTCTCCTCCGCACCGTCGAGGGCTGATATCTGAATTGCCTTCGCTCCGATCGATTTCAAGTTTTTTTTAGATAGGCGTCCCGCATCTGATTGCGATGTTCTTCTCTCGACGGATTTCACAAGCTAGCTGTGCAATATGAAGGGAGAGGACAGGCTCTTCGGCTCTATACACAAGCAACAAACGATTCTCCGTGTCAGGTCAGATCGAGAGCTCGTTGGTCTGGAAGCTACGAAGGGAACATTGTTCGGGATAGGCACCGCCGAGTCCCGCAATATATTCTCAGTCTGTACGATTCACCTAACTACCGACCTGCCTACCTAGCGACCCTTTGACCGCACACTCATACCGTCGGTCTGTATAAATGTATATCTTAGATCTTCAATGCAAGACGCGGGAGAACTCCGAGACATAAGCTTGTGACATTCGGAGCTTCCGACGGAAAGAATCCACTCGTGTTCTTGGAAAGATCCTGCGCTTTTCTTGTGGATGTATCGTCCGACGGCTCTATACACCGCTCTCTACACCCATAAGTGAGAGCTCAGAGGGATCCCCTATGTTATGCAAATCAGAGCTATGAGTGAATTCTATGAATTGGCTTCGCGGCACCGGTCAGATACGGGTATACTGACTAAGAGAAAAATGTCGTGAGAGCATAACAGCGATCTAATTCTCACGGACGAGTGTTTCGAGCATCGTAGACCACCAACATCCGGTCTCACTAGAAATTATCATGAATATCTGATGAAGCGATAGATAAGCTGAGAGGTGAACATGAAAAAAAAGCGGATCCTTCGGCTCTAGAGTTCCCAAGGAAGCGGAGATTTCCATCCAGGCCATCTCGGTGGAAGAACTCCTGTCCAAGCATCGCTAGATAATGTTGGGTGCGAACCTCCCGCATGCAAGATAGAATCATGGATTTCTCGAGGAGAAGAATTTCGGGAAAATCATTGATAGCGAGTCCCAGTCCACAAAAACCTACAGGGATCACTGTTTTGGTTAGGTGAGACCAAAAAGTGATGTGAAGTATATAATAGGAGGGTGAATGTCCATTGGTGTCTTCTTCTTTCGGGATCACGATTATGTAGGATTTATCTAGTCACGGCATTTATTCCGGCGTGTGCTCAAGCGCTGGTAATTGCCAGCAACTATCATGATGCGTGGTCTGCCTGTGGCTCAGACATCGAACTCTTAGTGTGTATGTGCTCCTTTCTGTTTAATCAATTCGGCGTTCGCGTAACGACGTTTTTCTCCCTTAACTAATTCACCGATCGAAAGATTCGGATAGTGATATCTATGTTCCAGTAGCCGTGATCGTTCGCGGCGACACCATCAACGATCGGTAGATCAAGACTATCGGGCCAGCGTTTCGACCGAGCTCGGACTCGGTCCGAGGCGCGGTTCGACAGGAGCCTCGTATCGGTTTTTCGTGAATTCGCAATGCGTCCGCCCTCCGCCCTCGTGCTTAGTTGGGCACGTGGCTTGTGGCTCGGATGAATACGTCGATATGCAAAATGCTTTCGAGAAGGGACCCCAGAGTCGTTAGAATCGATTGATTTCCGAAGAAGCGTCTACGTGCTAATATGTGGATCGAAGTTCGCCATTCAGTTTCTCTCTCGGTCGACCGAGCAGTGGCTCACTCGCTCGTTTGCTTGCCTACTCACTCAGCCGTAAGGACTGTCACAATTTGACTGCAATTGAGGAGAGATCTTGATGCGAGAGGCCTTACAAATGTTATATCGAATCTTGAGCCCTCTCGACTCGATAAAAACGGCCTATTGTCTAGCACCGAACAATATCGAGATATGTCGCTCACTGCGGAGTAACAGCGACTCAACTCTATTAATGTGACTAATATTACGGCTCGCTAACTGTTGGTCCGCTTTCTTTCAGGGGTGAAATTTCCTGGTGCGACGTCCAGACCGACGACTTGCAGCGGTGAACCACCAGCAGTTCGCATCGATCACGAGTTTCGATGTTTCGCGGTATCCGATCACCGGTGTCGTCGCGGTAGACGAGATCGATCCTCGGGAACAGTGCCGAGAGCGGCGGGTTTCCGTCGTCTCAGACTCTTGGGAAATAAATTCCGTTCTGGTTAAAGTGACCTGGAGTTGTTTTCATTCGATCTTGCTTGGATACTCGCTCCCCAAGATATTGCGTCATTGAATGTTTCCACGATCGATCCTCGCAGCGCGTCACCTGAATATTTGACCATTCGAAGTCTTCAATTCCAGATGTCAAGCAGGAGCCGATGATTTCGCCGTCGATGGATTTGGACCAAGTGATGCAAAACCTACCCAATTTGCATTTGTTCTCCAATCTTCAAAGTTTAAACTTAGAGCATCTGATCGCGCTGACGAATAGTGAAGCTCAGCCGGCAGTGAAACAGTTCAAATGTAAACACTGCAACTACTTGACGCCTTACCAGGCTGCTCTCAAGACACATCTGAAAAGTCACAGTGGTGAGAAGCCTTTCAAGTGCCAGTTCTGCGAATACCGCACGGGACTCAAACACAACCTGGAGACTCATCTGAGGACACATACCGGAGAAAAACCCTACAGTTGTCCCTATTGTCCGTACAAATGTGCCGCGAAAGGTAAGCTCGTTTTCGGTTGATCTGTGTGCGGCTCCTTCTGAGATATCCTTCGGGACTCGATTCGGGAACGGGAAAAAACGCGGACGGGGATCATGATGCGGAGTGATTCTCATCAGACTGAGCTGCCTCTTCCAAACCGCATACGTTGCATTTCTCTTTTCATTATTCCCGAGGATGCTCTTGGTGGAGGCTCGCTTCACTTATTCCATAAGAATCAGGGTCCTCCGTATGAGATTTTTGGCTCCCCATATGACTGAGAAAATTCTGTATCCTCTCGACTCGACAATTGTCGTCGTGGTGTGGTCGATGGCAGCTCATTCGATTCTCATGCATCGAATAGACGAATGAACGAACGAACGGACAAACAACAGACAGAGCGTTTCCATTCAATCATATCTTTCCATTCTTGGCGCTGAGTCGTTCAAATCCCATCGTTCGACTTTAGCTGGAACGTGCTTTCCAGAAAGAACAATGCGGGTCGTACGTCATTTCTGTTTGAATGATTTATCGTCAGACAAAGTATACTACACATAGTATGCGAGCGGATTCCATCTCGCCATGTTAATTCAAGTACATATAACGATGATGCTGCTGCTGATGCTGCCGCCGCGGCCGACAACGAATAAGGCTGACAAACCCGACGGCACGGGATGACGGAGCAAAAAACGATGACGAAGAATCCGTATGAATGATAATACAGCGAACAGACAGAGAGGCAAGCAGGCAGGCATTTCGAACGAGAAGCCAGTCTCATCATCAGCGTCGTTGCCGCCGCCACCGCTGCTGCCGTCGCCATCGTCGTCGTGAACGGTTTATGCTGGCTTGAGGGTCCTTGAAAGTCAAACAAAAGTTGAATCGTTTCAAATTCATTCCGTGAACTCCTCTCCAGCGGCAGCCGAAAAGTAAACGCACGATCGAGGGTCTTCAAATTTACGTGGTTTCCTTTGCGTGCCTTTCTCTCGCCTTTTGTCCGCGTCTTCTCCTTCTGTAGAGCGCTATAATCTCTCGAGCCTCGGCTCCGAGCCACTCGAGTGATTCGATTAAAAAATCGAGATTCTACGCCAGACCTTAGACCGTATCCAGAAACTCCTTAGAACCTCATGATCAGCGAGATATACGGGAATGCAGGAAGAACGATACGATATATCGAGGATTTCCCCCGACGCCGACGTATGAGATTTCGTATCTGACTGACTGACTGTCAGACTGACCGACTGAGGAGTGTTTGCTCACGTTGAGCCTCCTCGTGGTTGTTGCGCTGGAACACAACGACAAGTTGTCGAAGAGAACGAACAGTTCGAGCTCGACCCGATCGAAGAAGAGAATGTTCAGACAACGCAGAGGTGGCGTTTTCTGAATTTCTGGGGAGGCGCCTGTGCGCTTGGATTTTGAATTCAACTGAATACGTTTGCTCAGCGACGACGACTGAAAGCGACTTCGTTCTGCTCGATGATGAAGTCCATAATGTTGATTTTTATTTTCGGGGGGCCGCCGCGTGTAGATTCGGATTGGACTGATGCGAATATAAGCTGGGCCTCCTCCTGTGCGGTTTGTATCAGCGTTCGCTGATATAACAGTTTTAGACAGACCGAATATCAAAAAGAAGAAAAGATAGCAGCTGCAGGCTCTTCTTCAAGAGAGCCTCCGTGTTCATTGTTTGGTCATCAATTGAACACGAGCGATTTCGGATGAAGTCGAAGAAGAATAGACAGGGTAAAACTCATTGATCCGATCGGAGGCACCTGTCGCGCTTCCACGAACGAGAAAAGTGCCGCTGCCGTCGCAAATCTGTCAAACGTGTCGCGGACTCACATGCTCCTTTGACGCGCATGCATGGCTCAAGTCACTATGAAGCGGCTGAAAAATCGTCTCGGTCCCATGCCCGACGAAGTGTCGAGTTCTGCATAAATTTTCGGCCCGGAGTCGATCGGAATCGAGGGGTCGCCATTGCTCCCCCACCCTCTACTTGTGTAATTTGGATTTGACAAACTGATGTTCAGATAAATTCCGCCCCCGGCAACCCACTTGTCCAATGCACTTGTGTAACGTATTCTCCTTGTTGCTTTCCCCACAGGTAACCTGAAACTGCATGTCCGGATCCACACGGGAGAGAGACCTTTTCGATGTAAGCTTTGCGACTACTCCAGTGCGCAAAGCAGCTCTTTAGCCACCCACATGAAGACTCATAATCGGGAGCCCGGACGAGTCTATAAATGTCAGTCATGTCCTTTCTCTGCCTATTTCAAGCACAAGTTCGATCAACACATGAGAATACATCAACAGCAGCAAGCGGCGGCGGCTGCTGCCGGGAGCGCCAACCTACCCCAAACGTCGCAGACATTTTGAGCTTGAGGCGTTCGTATTGCGCTACCGGCGTGTTTTGCGGGTGGTCAGGCGTACGGAAGGTCTTCAGAATCCTTATTCCAGACAAAGATTATGAAATTCTAGCGTTCCTATTGTATTGTCGTCTTGAGTGATTGGAAGACGGACTGACTGACAAACTGATGTATGACGGGCTTACTGGCAACGTCCGAAACGAGGAATCGATCGTTCGCTCAGGCCCTGATTAGGCACGAGCGGGGCTCCTGAATGGCGTCGGAATCATGTTTGCGTATTTTACGAGGACGACTCGGAGAGCCGCAGCTTGCAATAGTGTTATGTTGTGCCATGAGAAAAGGAAAATGTTAGTTGAAACCTTCTCTACCAAGTATTTAGCAGCTACTCAATCGGTTCGGGAGAACCGACCTTTGATGTTAACGCGACGCCCGGTCACATATTTGTTCCGTGGAATGTGGCTCGGAAATTCTATGTCACGGAACCTTTCTGGAAACCTGAACTACCGTTGTAGGGAACTGTGGTCAAAGTCTCTCATCTGGCGATATGCTGCCTCAAGCACATTGGGGCGGAAATATTAGGGAAGGATTGACTGTGCCGTATCTGTTGAGAACTAAGTCGAGCCGCATACGCGACCAGCATTCCGGTTAGGCTTGCCGCGGGAATTTCGCTCTACCCCTCTAATCTAACTCTCCAATTGTGACATTCGGATTAATGCCCGCTTCAGTTTTCGCAAATGTTCGCAAGGCCATAGCGATACCGCAACTCCGAGGACAATCAGATTTATATTCGTACCACCAATATTGTCTCGAATTCCCGACGCCTCCTATCTGCGAAGCGAGGAATCCCTCCAGGAATTCCAAAGCGTGAAATACCAGTTGAGAGTCCTGGCCCATTTCCAATTGGAATTCTGGATACTTATTTATGAGTGACTACCGCGTCAGAAGGAATTCCTCAGGTCTGGAATCCATCCGTTTGACTGTCATGTAAACAATTCAGAGATTCCGGATATTATTGAGGAGGTTCGCCCTCAGGCCCGACCAAGAAGGGATTCACTTGCTCATCACGAAATTCCATAGAGCGAGAGCTCTATCAGATTCTCGGAGAAATCGAGGATGCGACCGGGGTTCTCTATCGAGACGATGTACTCCTAAGGATTCGCCCGATAAATCGAGCGACGGGACCTCGAGAGCGGAGTCACAGTATTTTCCCGCTCTTCCTCGGACTCTATCCGTTATTCTCGCCACAGTTCCCGAAGCGGCCCGAAACTCCTCGATATCCGATCCCCTTATTACGGTCGACAAGTCATTCTTCTTGGATCCAGATGTTCATCTAGAGCCGATGAACGTACCTTTATAGAAATGGTCAATGATCGCAGCGATTTCTCGTTGAGTATGAGACAAGTGGATGCGCCGTTATGCAAAAGTATTTCAGCGAAGTCTCCCGCGAAGTGTACCATAATGTTGTAAATATGGGAATTCTTTAAAATTGTCTTCACCGGAGAGAAATTTCAGGGCTCGAGATCACATGATATTTTGTGCAATAGGCAAGCTGAGTAGGTAAATAGGGAACGCTCGTGGTCGGCGACATCGAGACACGAGACGACAGTCATGTCAATTTCATGAGTGTATCCCACGCTCATGAATGCATCGAAACAATCGTCTACAAACGAAAAATAAAACAAATGATTTAATCGAAAAACTTCGCGACTTTCTTACTCCATGTTCCTTCACTCACTCTACCCGGTGTACGACACTATCTCCGTCTCGTGGACATCGCAGTGGTATCGTCGGGTCCGTTCACTATACGGCTGAAACTCCATCATCGACGGACGACGCAGACTACTTCAAAATCGAACTATGTCTGCATTCTCGAATGATGTCTGCAGAGCAGATCACATAGGTCATCCAGGAGCTTAATGAATAAACGCTGGTTGGAAAGCATCGGACGGCCAGACGCATCCTGGCGTGGATGGGCCGGTCAATAACCGGTGGTTCTTCGGCTGGGGTCCCTCTGGAATGAACCCATCGAGGCTGACCTGACTTCGTTCCCTGTGTGTTCCAAGTTTTCTGTGTCACGGTGCTCTTCGCCCCCCCCCCCTCTGCCCTCAGGAACAATGCGCGAGCGGCGCAGAATGGAGTTCTTCTTTTCACGACCAGAGTTGAACGGAAGGAGATTATTGTGTCGATCCCATAGATAGCTCGAGCATCCATATTCGCATGAGCGAGCTGGAAATAAGTTCGGTCAGGGTGATCGGAAAAGACGTTCCTGTCCTTTGGGGAGAAGCAGACCAATTCCGCCTCAGAGTCGTATAAAATCGCCCTCTTCGATTGATTCACCTCGACCGAGCTCGCCTGAACCTATGTATGTGTTATGCTGTCGGGGCCTCGGTTATAAGTATTTATCGATACAGGCGACGATATGATCTCTTTCCTTTCCCTTATCTTTAAGGCGTTGAAAGAGCGCATTAGGGCGTTCGCGGCCCGCTATCTATGGGAGGCCGCCGCATACGTACACCGAAATCAGTGGCCAATCGCAAGCTCACCGAGAATGAACGGGATGGCCGATGATGATTCCGGAAATCGATTGCTATTCCGCTCATCGGGGCTTTGACAATGTACTCTTCGACTGAAAATCGACATTCTGATCAATATATCCTAAGATCAGGCTCTCTCGCGCGTCGGCATCGATCTGAGTGAGCCTTCCTCCTCATACCATAAACTTCATCCAAGAATCGCAGAGGGCCGGGATGCATCGAGTATCGGTTGATGATTGAGCTCAGGGATTCACTCGTCTCATGGAGGAGCGAGCGGGGAAAGACGACTGAGCACGAACCTGCAGAGCTCGTAGCTGTTGTTGTTGTCGTCGTCAATGCAGTTGGTGTCGTTGATGATGATGATCCGTTATAACATCTGACCGAGTGAGGCCCTTCTTTGACATGAGCCAACAGCAGGTACGAGCAGATCGTTCGTTCGCTCTCTCGCCCGGCTCTCTGTGTTTCAGTCTAGTATCTAGTTAATGTAAGATCGTGTTCTAATCTCTCAAACTTATGTCACGCGTAGTCTGCGTTCTCCGTGCACTTCGGCAGCGATATGGATCTCTTCAGAGCGGGAACCGAGCCTCCTGTATTTTGCATCAGGTGCACCGAGCTCACGGTGCCTCCATTAGGAAACGAATTACGGAACCGTTAGCCTCCATTCCGGTCCTTGGACTAAGCCAGGACTCGGGCCGAGTGAAGATGCAGGAAAAAATGGGAAACTATAAAAATAAGAAGAGGTTGCAGAGCCGCGTATAAACGTCGGGACGCTTATGGTCTGCTTCAAGCCTCTCTGATACCTCCGTGAATCACCAGGAGCCGATGGTCGAGAGTGAACCCACAGAAAAAGCTTTTCACAATTGAACCTAACCTACCATCAAGCCCCTAATGGAGCAAATCTGTAGTTACGGGGAGCTACTGAAATTCAGCTGGGGAAAGTGCGTCCAAAGCGCAGTTCGATACGGACTCCGAGTCGAGGTCAAGCCCAAAGACGTAGATACATGAGGGCGATGTCGACACCCCTTGGTGAGACTTCAGGCCCTTTTGTCGTCATCCATGCCCTTGTGTCTCGACACAGACAGCGTCTTCGATGGGATGGGCTCCGCGCAGAACGTGCTCCGAGGTGCCCCACGGGCATGAGTACCATTTCGGAGGCTGACTGGTGGTTGTTGTTCGACTACGTGGTTCGTCCATCTCATGCTCATCTGTCGACAAGCAGCCAGGTTCGGGCAGGGAAACTCTCTGCGTGTGTGTGAGTGAGTGAGTGAGAGAGCCTAGAGAAATAAGGTACCGGAGGGAATGAGAGAAAGAGAGATTACTCCTGGTTTTGCTACCCCTGAAGCGGAGCGGTTGAACCGAGCTGAAAGACGGAGGCACCCACGGACTTAAGGTGCTTTTTCAACGACCGTAGAGGCATTCGTTGTACTCTCGCTCGCTCGGTGTGATCTGGGTCCGCATATTTTGCCTGCTCGCTCGGTCGCTTCTGGCTGCCCGTTTGAAGGCTCGTCCCTCTTCTTCATTCTAGTTGTTCTGAGCCAGTCTACTGAATACCACAGATTTAGAGGGATCCCATTCAAATATCCCTCGCTTCAGGGACCAGCTCCGGAATGGACTAAACCGTTTTTTGTCAAGCGCGTCTCCCCAGGGAAAAACCCGAGAATCCTAGAAAACTCCGCGCAGATGATCGATTGAATAGCTGATGAGCTCATGGCTCGCGGCAGAATATTTGTCCGCTCCAACTCCTTTCACAGAGACATGTTTCCTCAGGACCCTTCGCTCTTTATCACCTGATATGCAGAAGAAGCGAAGCCGAAGTGATATCTATGAAGGTACTAGAGATTTCGACACTATTCCGATTCGTTCAGCATGTGGATGTCCCCGGTATGCACACGAATGAATCACCCGATTCACCACCAGGCGCATCGGTATGTCGCGTATGTGTAAGCCGCGAACGGGCTTGCGCTCTTTCAGCTCAATAGGACCCTAGCTCGGTGAATCAGAAGTATTCCTAAACGGAGAGGTACCCGAAACGATCGAGTCGGAGAGAAAGCTGCCCGAGAATGATTTCAAAGCACCTTGAACGATTCGTCTAACGGAGCTCGCGTCGTCAAGCTTTTCTTCATATTTATTTTTTACAGGCTCTTCTGTCCTCGAATTGAAAAGCTTCGGCACGTCTCTCGTTGCGAGGTCTCAGGATGCGGGATTCGGCCAAGTTCGGGACTTCGAAACTCTCAGAGCGTCCGTCCCTCCATCCACTAATTGCATGTCCATGCGAATCACCCGTAGCTGTACAATCACCTGTCGCACTGAACAATAACGGGTCTGCTGATCATTGTCACGGGTGATGAATATTTATACGTCGAGCCCGACGACCACGGATCCACTGGATATATTCTGAGACCTTGAAGGTCTACGCAGCCGCCGCAGCGTTGGACCGATCCTTCATTCAAGTAGACATGAGCGGGCATTTCGAGTCCGCATGGAGTTCGCGTAGAGCGCCGCCCCAAAATTCACGTCTTCCCTGCACGGATCCCGTGGAAGGCGCCGCCGCAGCTCGCGTGTTGTCTTCTGAGATCACGCTCGGAGCTCAACTCGAGTCGAAGGTCAACCCAAAGCATCTCC